ATGAGAACACCCTCAGGATCCGGAAGCCTCTCGGCTGCTGATGCTCGCTTTCTTGGAATCCACCATGATGAACTCAAACTTGGGCACCTAGAGCTGGATCCCCTCTTGAGTGAATTTACATTTGACCAGAAATCTTCAGGGCATATACTATATATACACTATATTTTTATGCCTATCAAATATGTTTTTTTTTTTTGTATAATAATATATAAGCTATCTATATATCTATATAATATATATATATATATGTCTTCTGCGACCATTGCAATAACTATTATAATGCACAGATAGAATTAAATTGTTATGTGCTACTGTTGTTTCCCATCGACCATTGATTGTTCCCCACTATCAGCTCAGAAGGGTCACTGAAAGTTTGGTTTGGATGATTTGGGCCACTTATTCTTTTCAATTCTTGCTTAAGCACATTTACATCATAACATTGCAAGGTTTGGGTGTCTATTGGCATGCTAAAAAAGTATGCACAGTAAAATGGGACACATGATGGAAGTTATCACTTTGCAAGGCCCTTTGGCCATGGCAATGCTGCAACATGTGCACGGCTATGACGTATGGTAGAAACAAAGAATGATTTTGAAAACAATACACAAGGCAACCTATTCACATATAGCATAAACATTCTGATTTTGTCAGGCCGTGCCACTAGATCAAGTGCGTGATTCATGGCAAGGAGTTCATGGATTAGGTACCCAATACACAAGGATTGGGCACTTCCAAACTTGCCACTCGAATCTGGGAAACCAACCTTCTTCCTGTCCTTGTCTGTCAGGCCAGCACGGTGACGAAGTAACTTCCGCCGTTCTGACAAAAAGTCTCCCTCTTCCAAGATGTCTGTCAAGAAGATCTGGCCCATGCAAAGCGCGGGTCAATATCACACACATATATGGCAGTGTATATGCATGGTAAGGAAATGCACACTCACACCAAAGATCAAATTGATTTGTAATTTATTCATACTGCTCGTATGGGTGCCACTGTGAAAGGTTTCGATGTCTCTCATGACCATGGTTCCCATCCAAGTAGTGGATACGCAAAGCAGCAAAACAGGTTCTTGCCTTAACATGCTGGACACGAGCTGGGGAAACTTCTGGCGCTTTCTCCATGAGTAGCACAGAGCAGCTTTGGAAAGGAAACCCTGCATGTGAGAAACCATGAACACCCACAGTGCATATGTAAAATTCCGCCATTCAAAAGATACAGATATCAAGTTGTTAATAATATTATTATATTTTAACTAAATTATGATATACCTCATATTTGCTATTTACATCACCCTGAAACTATGTCCGCTTTTCGTTTTGAACCAAGACGGTTGAAAGATCGAGGACCTGGAGACTTAACCATTCATTCCTCTTCATCCTTTACAAATTTGCAACGACAAAACATGCATGCAGTTGTAATTCCCAGCTCCATGCAAGTCCTTCACTGTGAACACACGCATGGTCTAAACAGGTACCTTTGATAAAAGACATCTAGAAATTGCACAGGCAGCCCCCACTGAAAATTGGCAAAAGGGGGAGCGCACCATCTGAAAAGTCACTCTCGTCAAGGATGTTTTCGTTGGTTTCCGTCTCTAATGCACCTAAGTTGGCTGAATAAATAAATTGAAATTTCCACAATTGACAGCCAAAGCTGACAAATAAAATCAACAAAAAAATCAAACCACATATGCATTCATGCATGCATGCACACTCTTGGGTTGTGCCAAGTCCTGCACGTTGTCGAAAGGCACTTTTCATTGCCACAGCACGCTGCCATCATCATGCACACGAGCACAGGAATCTCAAACAATTCCAGTGCAAAATTAAATATGTGATGCACCTATTCCATGAGTGACCTGCCTAAAAGTCAAAACAGTAAGACGTTTCTGCCTTTGTAGGCCGCACTAGCTAGGTCATCAAACTTGTAGCCATGTGTTGTGCATATCAGCAAATATTCTTCACTTGTTGGCATGGTGATGGCATTAGATCACCAATGAGACTCATGTTGATTCACACTAGTTGTGTTCATCCAAAGTCTCGAGCCTGCTCATGACTTTGTTGAAGTCCGTTCTTGTCATTTTCCCAAGCAAAGGGCCAGACAAGCAGCCAAACAGACACCACAACCCCATGGAACCCTTGATTTTAGCTATATTATAGTCGCAGACTAGGAAATAATAGTCGATGGGAAAAGCCTATTATTAAAATAGTCGCGGAAGACTAGGGGATGGATTATGATATTATAGATTGATACACATGGATGTAGATGATGGGTAACCATTATATACAGTGTATATATATATATATTATATATATATATATCCATATATCATATACACATGTAGAATATATATATATATATATGCCATATATGCTGGTTTCATAACCATCTCCCCATGATTCCAGACCTATCCAACCATCATCCCAGCTGAGACACGGCGGGAACAGGACCCGGAGCTAAAGATGGGTCAATTGGAGCCGGTAATCCCCGAGCTCATTGAGGCCGCGGGAGTTGCTGAGAAAACCATAGGAAAATATAGGGAAAATGATGATTTGGCCTGCATTTCTGAGTTCCCAACTGGTCTATCTTGGGCTGGTTGAATATTTAACACGTTATATAAAAAACATGCAGCTCAAGATCTATCTGCAGGTCTCGAGCCGTGATGTGTGGGGGATGGTCTAGATCTCCTTTTTTCGGATCAAGTGATGGCGACAAAGCCATCCTGTAGATTCGATTTCCTGACAATAAGATTAATATTTCTATTTTTTGTCCATATGAACAAACAGTGCCCGGGCCTCCACTAATCTTATTATCCTGTAGTTTGTTTTTTTGTATTTGTGATCTAGATTGATCTACTAGGAAACTGATAAGAAATAGCAATGTGGACAAGATGATAAAGAAGTCCCGGTGTTGAAAACGAACTGCTGGAACCACAAAAACTAGGGCCATTTCCAGGAGAATCATCTTCCAAAACTCCATTTTGTTTTGAGGATCGACCTCGATACTGGTCTGGGTGTATGACTCATCAAAATCTATACAGTAAAACAAGATCATGGAGCAATATGATTGCATATTACAATATATTACACACACATAATTCAATGTTCTTGGAGAAATATGATATGAAGGGTTATTATATCAAGTTCGATCATCATCATATATATAATATAATTTGATATGATAGCTTTATCATATTCATTATTCATTGTTTTTTTTTTACCAACAGGCCTACCACCCGCAGGCCATGCACAACTCAGACCTACTGCTGAGCCCCACGCCCGAGTCGCGCGAGGCAAGATGGCTTTCACCTGAATTGAATCAGCCCTTGGGTGGATTTCAACTCAAAATAGTTTGTGAAACAGACATATTGGGATTTGAGAATCAATAGATGATTAATTTATTAGATCTAGTTTTTTTTGCAGTTTTCAGTTTTTGATTTTGTGAAATCAGTGAAGATTTACCTCGCAAAAGATGAACTTTCCCGTTTGGGATGGGTAGAAAGATCTATGAAACCACCATGGTTTCTTCGAAGTTTCCCATCAATCCATGGAAGTTCAATCAATCCTTTGAAGTGACGAAAACATTCACTTCTCTTGCATAATTCAGTTGATTTGGGGCGAACACCGAACATCTCCAGATATGTTTAAGTTTAGCTTCTGGATATCCACAACTGGTTTCCCACGAATATCTTAGCGATTCTGTGGGCCCATTCTGGCTACCCACATGGATAAACGCTATCCAACAGCCCAAAAAAAATTGGAGACGTCCAGCATCTTGCAGGTGATGTGGACGGTTCTCTTTTCCTTCCTGGAACCTTTGGGGGCCTTCCTGACGGACGCGCCGGGTGTTTGTTTTTGGGTGTATCCGGGGGTGCGTCCCGCGTTGGATCACATGTGAAGCAGATGACGTAGAGAGTCCTTGAGGATAGCAACTGGTAGTTTTCTGCTAGAAATTGGTTCTTTCGTTTTGCAGAACCTTTGAATTGAAGAGGTTCTCAGACCTTGAGGCTTGGGTTTAGGGGTGGAGAGGTTGTGGGTCCATTGGTTCCCCGATTTGTACACCCAAAAAACATGGAAAAAATCACTCGCCGCCGGCACTTTGCCAAGCGGATCAAGCATCTGCAGCGCAGCCGACTTCTGCCAAATCCAAAGAAATGCTTCGAGGCTCCAACAACTCTGAGGGGGGCCTTGAAGGGTCTTGAAACAAGCGTCCTGAGTCAACGGCTCCTCTAATCCAACCTAGCAATTGGAAAATCCATGAAAATCCACTCCAAATGGAGGTTCCAATAGGATCAATAGGAACATCGTCTATAAATGGGTGAGTTTCCATTGCCACGTTTGATTGCCAGGGAGTCGAACATGCAGTATTTAAAGGACCCTTTCCAAAGGCTGGTCGTTCTACTGAAACCATCTGCTGTTGGTCCAAAGAATATGGTTAATTATTGTTAACCATTATTTACCATTAATATGGTTAGTTATTCACCATTTTCCCTAATCAAATCTGGGTTTGTCCAATTGGAATTGCTGAGCCGATGGTTTTTGTTTTTTTCCCAGAAATCCGCGCAATCCAACTGGAGATGGCCTCTTGGGAGACTTAAATTATTGGAAGATTGGCATCTGAATATGGGGATAACTGGACGATTAAAACCGTTGGAATGGGACACCCTAGATGTCTAGACACAGATACGGCTCTGGATCGATTCCACAGCTTTTGAGGTTCTCGAATTTCGACTCCAGACCTCCCGGAAACCTTTTTCAATTATACGAAGGATGGCAAATTTGCAGGAACCATATAGCAAATTTGCAGGAACCATATAGCAAATTTGCAGGAACCACATACACACACATATATATATATATTATAATAACTGGCTGTTGAATCAATGGTGTCCGATCGACCTTCCCAACAACCAACTCATTCATTCACACTTCTCATAAATGGTCATCACTCATCACTTTTAGCCCTTTTTACTCATCAATTTCACCATGTTTCCCGTATTTTTCATGATTTTCATCACACTCCCAGGCCAATCGTCCCTCAGTTTTCCAAGCGTGCCAGGTTTTTTAGCCTTTTGCATTTTGTTACCGGTGCACTGCAGCCGTCAGAGCAGCTACAGCTATGCCCAAATCCTCGCTGAGAGCGACTCGACGAAAGCGCGTTTTTGTGGCATTTTTGGAGCAAAGCTGGTGGTTGAACTGGGTATGGATCAATACCTATATAATACCATTTTTAGGGGAATGAACATCCATTTACCAGCTATTTTGATGTTCACCAGGGGTACAAGGTTTTGACACACTGCCAACTAGCAACAAGTGGGATTGACCCAACAGAAACAGTGAAACAGTATGAAACAGTAGCATATTTCAAGAAAGATACAGGGCATATCTCAGATTATATCAGCCACAAATCAACAGGGTGATATTTGGTCAACAAATGAAGCGATCTGTCGCTCCGGTGCCACGGTGCCACGTTCTCCGTGGGTTCCGTGGGTTCCCTCCGTGGCGGAGATTTGAAAAAACCAATGGATTGATGATCTGGTTGATGGTTTGGGAATCAGTTGGAGAAACCCCAGATTTGGTACATACCATGGTGAATGTCATAATGGTATGGGAATGTCATCCCAATTGATGAACTCCACATCATTAAGATGATCTTGGTGGTTTGGGAATGTCATAACCCCTACTGACGAACTCATATTTTTCAGAGGGGTAGGTATATCACCAACCAGTCAAGGTTTTGGTGCAAATGTTCCCTCCATTCTGGAACATCCTGGGAATCGTTCATTTGGAAATCATTGAGGTCCGATTTGATCGTTTCCTCCGATCAAGGCTTGTTCGATCTGGCACGGCACATATATCAAGTAGTACCGGCAGGCCCCAGTCTACTGTAAAGCCCAAGTATTGTTGCTTGAGCCAAAACTTCTAGGGATTTACCCTCTGGTAAACTAACATAACTATGGAAAATCACCATTTTCAATGGGTAAATCCAGTATAAATGACCATTTTCAATAGCTTTATGTACTTTTTGATCTTTTTTGCAACTTTTAGTGGCCGAACTACTGATTTCTACTGGTAGTAGTGAACACTCCAAATTCGGCCACTTTCCTGAGGCAGTTCCGTGCCCAAAGTGATCTATGACGCCTTGCGCGAAGCGGGAGCACTGGTGCAGACGCACTTGGAAACCTTGCAGGCACGGCCGGATCTAAATCTATATTTCATCCGCTAGGAAACGGGACATTTGGCCCGGGATCAATGGGTTATAACATGTTACAACGACTTACTACCCTCTAGTAATGAAACATGGCAATGGAAAATCCACTATTTCTAGATGTTTTTTCTCGGTAAACCGCAGTTCAAACAAGAATTCCCAGCATGCGACGTTTGATTACCAGAGGGTATCAACCTAATATTTCATTAATATTGCATTCGTATTCCATTCATATTCCATCATATCACCGGTTGGTGGTTTGGGACATTTTTTATTTTTCCACATATCGAGAATGTCATCATCCCAACTGACTAATATTTTTTAAGAGGGGTAGGTCAACCACCAACCAGACCATATGTTGGTGGTTGCACTCCCCAAGCCACCTGGTTCCGTTGAGAAGTTGAGCCTTCAGGAAGCCGAGCGCCTAGCGGAGCAGCGGCAAGCTGATTCCAGCGCCAGGATCGACGAGAAGACGCAGGCGATGAAGGCGCCGCCTGCGGGATGATGGGAGGAACATTCCGCTGGGTCCGAGGGTTGTCAACATCTAATGGTTGCTAAATAAAACATCTGAAAAACCATGTGTTTAAAACCATGATATGATGTTACCAAGCATTAGATTCTGATTTGAAATGCTGATTCCTTATGACAGCAGATAACAAGCATTATGAGAATTCATGGTTTCCCATGGCTGATATAATGGTGCTTCGTCGCCACATTTTATGGAACAATTATGGTGGGTAGCAGATGAGACGATCTTACAGTGATAGGGCAGCCGGGCATATAGGCGGAGAATCAGATTTGGGGCTTAGTCCCCTATTATTTCCCCACTATTTCCGCATCATTTTCCTGTTATTTCTCTATTAGTGCCCTACTATTGCCATATATTCCAGAACCATACAAAACCAGATTATATATCCTGGAAATAGCTAGGGATCCATGGGGGGTCTGAAAAAGGCTCCAGCCACATTGTATGGGAAAATGGTGCTTTAGCCTACAATACATGGAGGTTTTAACCAATCAGATGATGATTCTCAGATGATATGGGGGTGTCTGAACATGTGGTGTGCCCCAAAGTAGCGATTTTACGGGAGAAATGATGAATGATGATTTTACGGGAGAAATGATTCTGGAGGTTTCCCCTAAATTTTCGTTTGTTATTCCAAATCCATGTCGATGGTGTGATTCTTTGAAGGTCTAAGTTTTATTTAGGTCGAAGTTTTATTTGAAACCCAAAAACTCATCACAAAACAAACAACTAGCAACGTTTTGAGTACCGTATAATTGTTGTAACTTTCAACTGCCAAAAAAAATACGGCGTTGGCACCTTAGGACATTGGTTATCTACTATGATGGGGCATATGCCAATAGTTCCAACGTTACTTACTTATACAACTGAGTAATGTATTATATATATAATATGTATATACATAGATAAATAGATAGATAGATAGATGGATAGATGGATAGATGGATAGATGGATAGATGGATAGATGGATAGATGGATAGATGGATAGATAGATGGATAGATGGATACATACAAACAATTACAAACATACATACAAACAAATATACATACATCCATCCATCCATACATACATACATTAACTACATACATTAATTAATTAATAATTACATAAATACATACATACATACATACATACATACATACATACATACATACATACATACATACATACATACATACATACATACATACATACATACATACATACATACGTACGTACGTACGTACGTACGTACGTACGTACATTAATACATTCATACATACATTCACCCATTCATACATGCATTCATAGATATATTCGTACATAGATACATTCAGACATACATTCTTACAGACATTCATACATACATACATACATACATACATACATACATACATACATACATTCATACATATATACACATGCCTTGTGCAACAATAAATCCCATGGGTTCCACGGTTGCCACGTGACGTGACCTCCCCATCCCGGATATCCAGGCGATGCAGACGCAGATGGACTTTGTCGCAACCAAGGCCAAGGCCACGCGCGATCTGATGCTCCAAGTGGATACGGCGGCGGCAAAGCACTCCAAAGCAGGTCTGGGGTTGGGGGCCGCTGGGAGCAGTTGAGTTGACACTTAGATCACTTAGGCCTTGAAAATATGGAGGTTTACCAAACCAAGTTTTTGAATAGCGACTTTTTTGGCAGTCCTCATGGTTTATGGCACTCATGGTCGGTGGTGATCACATTTCACAAGGGTTTACAAGGGTTTATGGCACTGTAGATCTTTCGAACTAGACTAGCATATACCTAATGCTTATTATTGCAGGTATCGTTCATGATAGATATTAAATGCTATGAGTATATCTATTAGTATAGATATAATATGATATGTAACATGATATATACCATGATACATAACATGATATATATATATATATATCATGATACACAACATTATATATATATATATACAGCATGATTGACAACATGATTGATAACATGATAGCCAACATGATAACTAGGGTTAACTGGGTTTAACACAAAAACCGTCACAACAGATCACCGGGAGGCACCGGGAAGCACCGGAGCGCAGTCTGAGGTGAAGATCACCAGAAGTCCATCACGGAGTTCGGCAAGGCGAGCGATGCCTTGGAGGAAATGGCCAAGAAGGTGACCCTCAAAGAGCAAAAACTTCGAGACATCTTCGGTGACTACAAGAGCCTCTTGGATCTTTGGTGATCCCATCATATTTATATGTATTCTGTATGTCTATATGGTTTTGAAGAACTTCAATGGGAGTTCTGTAATACATTTTTTTTTACAGAGATATGATCGTCATTCGAGTTTGACACCAGTCTGCCTTGAGACTTGAGACACGGTTGACACGGTTGACGCTGTTGACACGTTGGAAGCGAAAACACGGAGATTGCCGGAACTGGGGGAATTTGTTTGGGTGCTTTGGAAACAACTAGAATGAGTGGTCTTATGATCGGTCTTCTGGTTCCTTTCAGAGTCATTTTTCCCCAACAAAACCTCTGGGGTGGGTGATCGGTCTGAGATGGATTTGCCAAGGGGCGATACTGGCGATACCCCCAATGTTTCCCGCGCAGCCACAGAATCCATGTACTTTTACCCTCTGGTAAACATACAAAAAGCTATTGAAAATGGCCATAGAAATGGTGAGTTTTTCCAGCTACAAAATGGTGGATCTTTCCATAGTTTTTTGTATGTTTACCAGAGGGTAATACCATTGGTATCCGATTGTGTTTTTGCCCTCCAATTCTTGGCTGAAAGGATGGGACTTGCGGGATGCCATTTTTTGCAAAGGAGGATGAACTATTTGCCACATCACACATGGGTATGACATATAACCTATATATATATTGTATATATTTATGTGTCATAAGATGTATGAAAGCTAAGACATTTGTCTCCACATCTAAGATATGAACATCCTTTTGCCAACTATTTGGATGTTCACACATGGGTACTGATCGGGTTTTGCCAAATAGCCACATCACATACCCTCTGGTAATTTGTTTCAGTTTGCTATTGAAGCCATGGCCCATGTAGTTCGCTGATTTATCTATTAAAGATGGTGATTTGCCATTGCAAACTGTTAGTTTACCAGATGGTATGATGAATAATCCCATTCATTAACTATGGTCCTAGTAGTTATAAGGTATTAAGGACTCCTATCTATATACTGGTTGGTGGCTTGGAGCATCATTTGTTATTTTTCCATATATTGGGAATTTCATCATCCCAACTGACGAACTCATATTTTTCAGAGGGCTAGGTCAACCACCAACCAGTAAATATATTGTAGATGATGTTGATAGGAGATAGTCTATAGTTGACATCTATCCAATCTAATACATATATATATATAGTTGATCGTCATATACTGAATAATTCCATCAACCGAAGCATTTATGCACTTAGGAGAACTTGGAGACTTGAAGTCTCAATGGGACAAGATGAGTCAGGAGCACTCTGGGAATGATAAGACTTGGAGAGTCAAAGATGTCTGGAATTGGCAGATGGATTTGATTTATGTTGTTGACTCATAGAGTCCACATTTCTTAAATACATCAGAATCATGATCATTATGTATGCCATTGATCGTGCGCTTGCTTTACAAAATTAGTATAAGTGTCTTTAGAAAGTATCTAATGCTTATACTTGGTATACATCTATAGTATTGTTCTATTACATATTGGATGTGTAGCAAAGCGTTTTTTTTTTTACAATCAGATGTACTTTCTAAAGACAATGTACTTTCTAAAGATGTAGTAGATGTATGACATATATCTATATCACTCTATATCAGATATATCATTCTATATCAGATATATCATTCTATATCAGATATTCTATATCTAAAAACCATATATTCTATATTATATGTATTGAACGTGGTTTTCAGCCCCAATTTTTCTAGCCCATCTGGCCGCAACTTCCTGAGGAGAGGGACCAAGCCGAGGCAGAGATGAAGGATCTGAAGACGCAGGTCCGCAGCGGCAAGTTTTTCGTTGGGTCCTTGGATCACATCCGTATAGTGAATACTTTCTTAATGGATGTATAAATGGTTATTAATGGTTAATAATGGTTAATGATGGTTATTAATGGTTAATGATGGTTAATTATAGGTAACTATATATTCAATATATACCATATACTGGTTGGTGGTTTGGAACATGAATGGATCATGACTTTCCCATCATATTGGGAATGTCATCATCCCAACTGACGAACTCATATTTTTCAGAGGGGGCTAAAACCACCAAGCAGGTATAATATGTATGTATGTATGTCATAGACTCTCTAGTTTCAACATGTTTCAATGTACCAATATATACCAATGATCATCATGGATGCCATTCGATCATGACCATATACCTCCACAACATTGTTGGTTCTTTTTGTTCCTAGTATCCATTAATCATTGTCTCCTTCCCTACCAATAATCATAATTATGGAGATATGAGTGGATGTACTTGATTATATTTGATTATTATTATAACTATATATCTATCTGGATTTTGCCCTAGATGATCATAATTATGGATAAATAACAATAATATGTATCTTGATGATCGGCAAGCTGACTGCTTGTGCTGGAAACCTGCAGGCCATGTCTGCGGGGAAGTTCAAGACTAGCGTGCAAGAGGCGATCTGGATGGTTGTTTGTTATTGTTGTTGTTGGTGGTGGTGGTGGATGCGCTACCATTTAAGTATATTTAAGTGTTGTTTGCGGTGTGGGATTGAGGTGATTGAGGTCTCCCCTTTGAGATCAGAGAGAGTTGGATTCTTGCCATAGCCGTGGCTCAAAAATGGGCATGAAGCTGAATTGCATTGGCTATTCAAGGTGGTTTCAGAATGTTTCAGATATTCATTTTTGATTGCTTCTCTGTTGGGCCAATGTGTTTATTCCTGAAGTATGGTTAGTCTTTTGTTGGGATGCGTCCTTGTGTGAGAAATGGGGCCAGTTGGAGGGCAGATCAACCATCTTCAAAACGGGAATCTTCGATCCTTTTTTTTGGGCGCATTTCAGCAGGACGCTCCTGATTTTCATTTTCCCAACAAGACCAAGCCGCTGATATTTACCCCATGTTTTTTGCCATAAATATGTCATGTTTGCCATATTTTACCTATGAAATTATCAGGAGTTCCATTTTTTTTCGGGTTTTTCGAAAGAGATCACCTAAATCAGGAGCAGGCCAAAGTCGAAAGGGACATGCAACTTGCACAACAGGACTCCGGCGGAGGAAAATCATCCTGGCCGTGGCGATGGAAAATCCCCGAGTTTTCTCGAGGTTTTTTCATGGGACAAAGATCATCTTTTAAGCATTGAACTTGGAGTCATAAAATCCTGGAAAAAATCATGTATTTCTATGATTTTCTATGTATTTTCAGCAAAATGTTCTCTTTTCAGCCATGTAACTTTTGATTATCAGAGGGTTTTTGTTGTATGATATGATATACAGTAATCCCCCCAAAGATGGGGAACAGCGCAGCAATTTATCACTATGTCAGTGAGAGTTGGGGTTTTCACGAACTTGTGCTTTTTTGGAGTTGCTGTACATCATATCATATGACACCATATTATACCAACTCATATATGGTATAGATACGGTATAGATATCATATCATATCATGTCATATCATATCATATCATGACATAACATAACATTTACTACACATCTACCGCAGTGATATGTTTGTTGTCCAGACCTTTGTTTTTACATGAGAGATCATGGCATCGGAATTCAATCCACAATTGGTGAAAGCAGCAAGCATTCTTGTTGGTTAAATAGACTTAGTTCCCCGTGTTAACACCTCCAATATCTCACCAAGTATGCCAAAATGATATGTTTACGTCTATCCCCCAGATTTGTCTAGACAAACCATAATATATGCATACAAGGCGGGCCCCCCAACTTTTGCTTGTTGGTTTATACCACACTTCATTTATATATCTAGGGACCCGAAACCCAAGCGAACTAAAGCAACTTGGCTATCGTAAATAAGACCCCACTTTGTGCTTTTCTTGATCACTATTTTGATCAATTTCTTTGGGTATGATATCATTTTAAATCCCACTGAAATCACCCATGAAATCACCATGAACTCACCCATGAAATCACCATGAAATTCACCATTTTTCATCCCCATTTATCTCCCAATTTTTTCCCTGGCTTCACCATATATGATATCTATAGTAATATATAGGACAAAGAAATAGACAATTGAATACATTAACATATATTCTATAAAACATAGATAAAACCATGTATAGTGATAATTATTAGTTCTACTATGTCATATTACATGACATTTACCCTAAACCCTAATATGGTTATTAGCCATTATTTGTTCTATATTTGTTAATAAACCCAAATCCCCAAGCATGATTCATATTTATTAGCTTAATATTCACACAAATAATGCTTATCATTGACAAATATTAGGTTATTAACCATTACTGTCCTAAATCCTGTTGAAAATCAACCATTAATATCCATTAATGTCATCATGGTTAACAAATAATATTAGGTAAATCCTATGGGTTTTGATGGATTCCCAATATCTCTGGCAGGAGCTCCAGGGGATGCGCCGCGAGTTGGAGACCGCGGTGAGCGCCGCCACGGTGGCCGAGGCGCAGGAGGCGCAGGCGGTGAACGAGGCGCGCGAGGCCGACGGACGCGTGGAGGTGGCCAAGATCCTCGGTGGAAACCGAGGAACTCGGGGATTTGACCCGGAAAAAGTATGGAAAACTCCAGGAAAAGTATGGATTCTGGAAATTCTATGGACCATTTGATGGACTTTAGGGGAAACATATTGGAAAACTATGAGAATTCTATGAAGTTTGTGTAGATTTAAACCATTGAACATAGGATTTAACCAAAATATGGTGTTGTTACCAACAATGTTGGTGAAGGCAACAATAATACTATGTATTAATTTAATGTTTGTTGGGTTTCTGAACTATCAAGATGGGAAATGGAAGTGGCAGAGATGTTTATGGTGACTAAAAACCCCTCAAAAATGGAGGTTAAGTTTAGCTAGTCAAGTTATGTGGATTTACTGTAACCATCAAAAACAATAGCGTTTCAACCAATGAATCATGGATATGGGTGTGTCTGAAAATGAGGGATACTAGGGATACCATTCCAAATAGGAACTTCAGAAAGAACATGCAGATAAATCAGCCGATTTTTATACAAATAAACATGTTATGGGGACTACTGAGATAATCATCAATATGAAACTAGTAGCCTTGGTCTGAAAATGGTGTTTCAACCAACAACGAATCGGGGGTTGACAAACAACAGGTATAGATTGGTCATGATAACCAATAAGAGTGTATGGGTCGGTTATTGTCAGGATGTTTCTACAAAATGTATAAATTATAGATATACAGCAACGCATGTATATGTACATATTTACAAACATTTAGATACGTGCTAGTACTATACATGGAAAAACATTGCTTTCTCTACGTCTATTTGTATCTATGTAACATACTGCACTGTAGTGTAGCGCAATGCAATGCTATGCAACTTCAATGCAATGTAAATTCCATGTAATGCCATGCCATGGAATGTACTGCAATGTTTTGTATATATATATTACCTTAATTAAAGAGAAAATGGCAGAAAATACCTAGTTTCATGATCTCTTCCAGGATTTTTTCAGACTTCAAGTTCAATGCTTAAATCCACGGAAATCCAGCCCTTTTTTCCCCCTTCCTTTTCTGAGGAAGACCAGAGCATATCTGATGAAAATCCGACGAGCTGTGCAAGCTTACTATGTGCCTTGGCGCTGGTGTTCAACCCTGTTGGATTACAGATGATTTCGGTTGGATCATAGCGACAGAGGGTGAAATCCCTACTGCCCAAAATCCACCCAGGCTGTGTTTTTTCTATGGTCAATTTGTCAATTCCTCTAGTCATTTGTTACAGAACATAACAATGGAAGCTATGACTGTCAAGTTCGATGATTTACCCGGCCTGGTAAACATACAAAAAACAATGGAACAATCCCCATTTTTAAAGGGAAAACTCACTATTTCTATGGACCAGAGGGTACCGTTCAGAATCAAAAATGGTGATCTTCCGCTGCCCGCAGTGTTTCACCGAACAGGGCAGCATTGATGAGCTCGAAAGCGCGGTAGATGGCAAGGTGGGATATGGGGTCCCCTGAGGCTGCCTATGGTGACATACCCTCTGGTAAACTAACATAGCTATTGAAAATGGCCATTTATAGTTGATTTTCTCATTGAACATGGTGATTTTCCATAGTTTCTCATTGAAAATATCCACTTTGAACTGGACCTGCACCCCTAAGTAACGGACAGGTATCAAAGGCCCAACAATTTCTTCAATGCGCCACGTCTCAGTTCGTGACTGAAAAAAAACAAAACAGATGATACCCATCCCGGAGTTCAGGTGGTTTAGCATCCCAACGGCTATGGATTTTTCATGACCTCGGCTATGGATGGAATTTCCCATCCCACATGGAGTTGGTATCACTGGAATCCCCAGCCGTGCCCCGGTGGTATGATCGCAGCTGTGAAAAATAACCGGTGAAGTTTTTTGCAGATTTCAGCCCGTTTTCCATGTCAGTGTTTGGAAAAATAGGGTACAGAATGGTACATACCCCCAAATCCCATAGGTTTTTTTTCATCATTCTCCTGATTCAAAAGGTTGGGGCTATTTTTCAGCATTTTCAGCCCCGGCTGCTCAAAACCCCCATGGAAGACCAATTCTGTGGACCATATCATGTCCCCAAATGAGCCCAAATGAGCCCAAATGAGCGGCTGGGTAAGGGTACAAAAAACCAAATCCTTCCAAAATGGATGGTCGCATTAAAACCATGTGACTACTATAGAAACAAACTATGTCACTATGAATTGTGGGTTTAGTGGCACCCTATATGATTCGACCAAACCCGTTCTTGAAGCCCAGCAAATGAGCAGGCAAATGTGGAGCTTAAGGAGGTTCCCGAAGCCAAGATGGTCTTGGAAAAGTACAACTTGATGACGCTCGGCAAAAATGGTTGGGGCATATTGAGATGGGCTGAGATAGACAGGACAGGCAAAATGATTGACCCCACTATGATTGAATAATATTATTCCAAACATATTCCAGATTCTTATCCCAAACATCGGTATTCCATTGTTATCCCATTAGGTGTATATACTGTATATATATATATATGTACTATTTACATCTACTTACTATTGTATACTATTGTAAAATATGTAAAATGTCCCAATGATCCATACTTTATCAATTAATCGTATACAATGATAATTCAATGGCCATTCCAGGAACCTAAATTGGAGGTACCTACCATATATAAGGCCTATGTAAGGCCTATGTAAGGGAATATCCCCACAAAATATGGCCTTATATGGTACAGTACCTCCATTTTAGGATCCTGAAATTCCCATTGAATAATGATATTATTCGATGATCATTGGGACAATAATATCATCCCCATGGACTATTGTATAATATTAATCATCATTATAGTCATTATTGTCATTGTCAATAATATCAATCATCATTAATGTAACAATGTCATGACATGTCATGACTAATCATTACCTTTATCTACAATAATATTATTAATCACCATTATCCCAATAGTCACTATTGTAGTATCACTATTATTAATCACCATTATCACTATTGTATAGTCATTATCTATAATATTAATCATCATTAATATACTGGTACAATAATCATCATCCCAATTGATAATTAATGATCACTGGCCTGACCACCATTATTCGGTTGCATCCCTCAGGCTGAGCGCCTTTGGAGATTTGCACGCCTATGATGCGGAGGTCTACGAGAAGGTCACGGCCGCCAAAGAGGACGAAATGCGAAATCATGGGGAGGGGCCAGAAACATGGAGGAAATGTCTGTGAGATTTTTGTGGATATATCTGGTAAACGTTTACATAGCGAACTGGAAAGATCCACCATTTTGTAGCTGGGTAAATCTACTATTTCGACTGGGCCATTTTCAATAGCTATGTTAAATTACCAGAGGGTACCATTGATAAACCATTGGAAATATAGTGATAAACCATTGGAAATATAATGGATATACCATCAAATAGCCATATTTCATGGAAATTGAGTCATAAACCATTGGACATATAGTGATATACCATTGATATGCCATTATTTCATGGAAATATAGTGATAAACCATTTAATTATGGGTAGCCATTGTTAATTGATGTGATGTGGGCTGATGATTAGATATATGGGAACAACAATTTGAGTGGGAAAAATGATGAACCAGTGAATCTAGGGGTATCCTATTTTCAGACAAACCCACATTGTGAAAAACATAAGCCAATATTTTGCTGTTCAGGTTTACGTGGGACATTTTCCATGTGACAGGGACAGGTACAGGTGAAAAAGTCAGGCAAACTCGAAAGATGTAAAATCACTGGATCATCTCAAAACCGTAAAGCCCATTTTTGGATGGTTTATGCTTAGGTTTAACCATGTTTACCTATGTTCACCTTACATGACAATTAGCAATTCAAGATTACTTGGGACTGTCCCCAGTAGCTTCAGTTGACACGCCTCGCTTCGCAGGAAGTGAAGAATAATGCCTTCGCACAGCTTCGTGGGGCTCTGAGGGATCAATGGATGATCGAAACATGTTTAAAAGAGGACTGGCACAAAGCCGTTCTTGTCCCTTCTCTTTTCTTTTTTGGAGATTCCGACATTTGCGCATATTCGGACTTACAGTATTTTTTTGGAGGCTGAGTAAGATGTGGGTCACATGTTTCTCCCTCTTTCTTTATATTTTCAATATTTTTTTAAATCATTTTTCATCTCCAAAAATCATCCGATGCCTGGGTGCGTTCCCCCAGAGACTCGACCAAAAACGATGGAGGCTTCATCTGTGATATGCTGGGCATTTCGACCTCGGAGGTCCAGCGGATGGGGGGATTGGGGAACTCAAAGGAAGAAAGCTGGACATTTGGAAGGATTTTTAATGACAGGTAAGTCGGTAAGTCGACATTTTTGTGTGAACATGGTTTCAATTGAATCATATTGAATCATATTGAATCATATTGAATCCTAGTGAATCGATGTGATCCCTCAACCTGTGCTCCATGCAATTGCAGGTGAACAGCTTTCTGATGGCAAGTTATGACAACCAAAAACAGAGGAAATACACATGGTTTCAACTTCCCAACATCACCAGGGTTATTTCCAAGTTCTTTCCCAACATTGCGAAACAACATCCCAACCCCGTGTTTTTCAGGAAGGGCATTGCCTGACCGGCCTTTGGAAGACTTTTGGCATGGCCAAGTTGCAGTTCCCCGACGAAGAAGTGGAGAAAGCACCGGAAGCGCCGGAGGAGGCAGTGGGGGCCGGTGACGACTTAGCCATGGAGATAGGGAGAGAGATAAACAATGAGCAAACAAGGGTGGATTTAGTGCCGACTTATACCTTCAGATGTGATATTGTCAAATATTGTCAAGGTCTTTTTCCCCACCTGCCAGGTGAGGGTTGCTAGATTTTAACAGAGCTCTTCTCCTCCTCCTCCACCGCCTCCTCCTCCTCCTCTGCCTCCTCCGCCTCCTCACCCGCCGCCTCCTCCTCGCAGTCCAGATCCCACCGGGCACAGCCGGACCTCCACCGCGAGCTCCAGATCCCAGTGGGCACTGCCGGACCTCAACCGCGAGTTGCAGATCGCAGTGGGCACTGCCGGACCTCAACCGCGACTTCCAGTTCGCAGTGGGCACTGCCGGACCTCAACCGCGAGCTCCAGATCGCAGTGGGCACTGCCGGACCTCAACCGCGACTTCCAGATCGCAGTGGGCACTGCCGGACCTCAACGGCCAGATAGAATGCCAGAAGATATGCCAGATGGAATGTCAGATAGAATACCAGAAGATATGTCAGATAGAATACCAGAAGATATGCCAGATAGAATGCCAGAAGATATGTCAGATAGAATGCCAGAAGATATGCCAGATAGAATGCCAGAAGATTTACCAGATAGAATGCCAGAAGATATGCCAGAACATATGCCAGAAGATATGCCAGATAGAATGCCAGATAGAATGCCAGATAGAATCTCAGAAGATTTGCCAGTAAGAAAATGTATAAATGTCATGGTGGGGATCACGCGAAGTAAAGTAATTTGAATATTTACGGCAATATTATCTGGTTGGTGGTTTGGAATCATGGAATTTTAGGACTTTATAGGACTTTCCATTCAGTTCTGGGAATGTCATCATCCCAACTGACTTTAACTCCGTCATTTTTCAGAGGGTAGGCGTACTAACCATGGACCCCTCCTTTATTCACCACGGACCTGGTGGACCTGGTGGACCTGGACCCCCCAAACACATAGTGGATGTAAGTAAAAGCAAGTAATATTCACTGGTCCAACCAATGATTTGTGGGGTGCTACACTATGAATTATAGCCACCTGGTGATGCAGATTATTCTCCTGGGAGTCCACTATCAAAATGAATAATTTTGAAATCCCCGATTTACACATGCTGATCCATGCGTCCGTTCGAACCCAGGAACATAATTTTGGTTCAAAATAGTTCTAAATATATCAAAATTATTTTCCTGTGGTGTACAAACGTTGGGTCCCAGGAAATTAGTCTATTAACAGCATATGTTGAGGGGTGGTTTGTTGAGCATTGTATGAGGGTTGGCACCCAGGAATTTAATTAGTAACAGAGGGGAAGAAATGCCTTTCTGGAAACCTGGGCATTAGGAAATTAGTGCCTGCAAGTTTTTTTCGTCTGAGAATGTAAATTCCGGCAAGAAAGGTCAGGTACCAGGATTTTAATTTCAAAAAGGTCAGGACCCAAAAAATAACCCAGTTATTTTCCTAGGACAGGACTCTCCGGAGTGCACCGGATGGCTATATCAATTGATATGAGTGATTCTCCTGCAATCCACCAATGATTCATCAGTGATTTATTCTAAACCATTGTTTTGTCGTTACCACCAATAGAAATCGTTGTAATTGGCCGATGATAGCCAGTGATTCACCACATATAGGTGAACCAACTCACCAGTGATTCATCTGGATGCATGTGATACACTATCCAGACCAAGCTCCACATAATTTGGTCACCAATTCAGTGATTCATCAGTGATTCACTATAGATGTTCATATATAAACTATATAAATATTCAGTACCAACATTTGCTTCACCAGATCTTCACTACAGATATTCACTAGCACAGATACTAACCCATAGGATTTGCCAGCGCTTCACCCAAAAACTTACCTCATCGGTGCCATCGCTCGCAGATTGAAGACGTGATCCCGGACGAGCCGTTGGAGGACTGGGTCGATGATCAATTCACATCCACCACTGGGGAATCGATTCGCTGGGGCTTTCACAGAATTGGATGATGGGAATTTGTTGACACCGGAAACCCCCAAAAAATGTGATCGGTCCTCGGTGAAGATTTTCCCGACTAAACCAATCCACAGCTGGTTGGTGGTTTGGAACATGAATTTTATATATTATTTTTGCCATCATATTGGGAATGTCATCATCCCAACTGACTTTCACTCCATCATTTTTCAGAGGGGTTGGCGTACCAACCATGGATCCCTCCTTAGTTTCCAACAGGAAATCCACGGGGGGAATCCTCCAGCAAAATCCTAATAATCCAAGTGGAGTTACCATATGTTACCATAACACCTGCCGGTGGGTGCGTTGCCGGATGTCCACTTGGGTGTTTTGGGTGTTTTTTTTGGCCAGCTGAAAAAGTTCAAAGCGGTCATTTCTGACCTTAACAACTCGTTACTTATATATGCTAAATATGCCGGCAGTCAGCTGCCTTAAATAGGGTCATCCGTTCCCAATTGTCAATGTTCGTTTTCCGAATGGATGACAGTCACCATTCAGCGTTGGGCCCAACGATAGATTTCTGGGGGTTGATCCATGCTGAAGCCTTCAAATCTTAAGTTTACGCCCCAGGAACTGGAAGAAGAAGAAGACGACGACATGGACATAGAGACGCCCCAGGAACCGGAAGCAAAACACGACGCCATGGACATAGAGACGCCCCAGGAACTGGAAGCAAAACACGACGACATGGATATAGAGACGCCCCAGGAACCGGAAGAAGAAGACGACGACATGGACATAGACACGCCCCAGGAACCGGAAGCAAGACACGACGCCATGGACATAGAGACGCCCCAGGAACTGGAAGCAAAACACGACGCCATGGACATAGAGACGCCCCAGGAACCGGAAGAAGAAGACGACGACATGGACATGGAGACGCCCCAGGAACCGGAAGAAGAAGACGACGACATGGACATAGAGACGCATGGTTTTAAGGGTTGAGGTGGACGGATCTTTCAAGGGCTGCCCACCGGTGAAGGAGTACTGTTGGCAATGCCATAGACAAACCATATTTTGCTGGTTTACGACATGTTTATACTAAATATACCATCCATTTGAATTTGAGGGATGGTGGATCCTCTTGTTTTTCTACCGTTATTATCCAATGGGGACAATACCTGCAGGAGATTCTCTGTCGTTTTGGGGGTTACGACCCGACTAGACACGACACAAAAGATGGAGAATGTAGCCATGAAACATGCATTCATGGAACAATGTTAAGAATAAATGCATTTAAATGGGTGTTTCCAAGAGCCCTGGACCGCCACCATCATTGAAAACATATATGCTTCAGTGGGAAAAAACTACAATTTTCATCCATTTTCTGAGTGTTCCCAGATATGGCAGCCCCGCATTTTAAGGACAGTCACATGGATGTGGGTCAACACAAGGGAGCAAGCGTGTAGGAAGCTTGCAAGACGCCAAACATGGGTGTATGATCATCTCCAAATCATTTACACGTGATGTTACACCCCTTTGACATCACCATACTATGGTTGCTTCTATCCCCAGCTGAACATCTTCAAAATACTTCCTTTGCAACATTCTTCTGCCTAGACCCTCCAGTTGTACCTATAAACATTGGGTAAAAGTACTGAATTTCTGGGATAAAATGGGTATAGTCATGTTTATCAGTACAACTGGAGGATTTTTCAGATGGTATGTCGGTACGTCCCATCCTCTTGATCAGTTGAACTCCTAGCCAAGTCCAAGGTCCGAGCCAGCGAATGATGCGACACAGAGGCTGTTGCACTGCTGAATCACGGTGAAAACCAGAAACATGGTGGGAAACTGAGGATTCGGGATTTTTTTCATCATGGATATGGCGACTTGGTCGAGGTCACTTTGTACCACTAAAAAAATGATGGTTTACGATATAGATATAGGGATGAGAATCCATAAACCATGGGTTTATCCAAGGGCTTATGATACCAGTAGTACCGCACAAGGCGGTGGCGGAAGTTTCAAAAATAGAAAACCTATAGGAGAGATTGGCTGTTGTGAATCAGGGATGGCAGAGCGAATCCACTGATGGACCGAAAGGTGCTTGAGGTCTCCTCTCTTTCTCTCTCTTTCTCTGACTATCTACTTACCTACCAGCCTATCTTCTATGTATCTATCTATCTATCTATCGATCGATCGATCTATCTATATATCTCTCTCTCTCTCTCTTTGATCTGTCTATCTGTCTAGCTGTCTACCTGTCTATCTATCTATCTATCTATCTATTTATCTATCTATCTATCTATCTATTTATCTATCTATCTATCTATCTAGCTATCTCTCTCTCTCTCTTTCTATCTATCTATCTGTCTGTCTGTCTATCTATCTAATCTAATCTAATCTATTCTAATCTAATCTAATCTAATCTATCTATCTATCTATCTGTCTACCTGTCTACCTGTCTATCTGTGGTGCGGTGTCATTCAGTGTAATGTAGTATAGTGTAATGTAGTGTAGTGTAGTGGAGTGTAGTGGAATGTAGTGTAGTGTAGTGCAATGTAGTGTAGTGTAGTGTAATTTCGTGTAGTGGCGTGTAGTTGTGTAGTCATAGTTGTAGTTGTAGTGGAGTGTAGTGTAGTGTAATGTAGTGTAGTGTAGCGTAATTTAGTGTAGTGGAGTGTAGTTGTGTAGTTGTAGTTGTAGTGTTGTGTAATGTAGTGTACTGTAGTGGAGTGTAGTGTAGTGGAGTGTAGTGTAGTGTAATGTAGTGTAGTGTAGTGAAGCGAAGCGACATCTGAACCTCCAAAAGTGGTCCGAACCCCTAGTGTTTTTAACATTTTGACTTCGAAATGTGCTTCGCGCCACAACCGCGTGCAGTTTTCGACATCTGAACCTCCAAAAGTGGTCCGAACCCCTAGTGTTTTGTACATTTTGACTTCGAAATGTGCTTCGCGCCACAACGGCGTGCACTTTTTTGACATCGCAACTGCCAAAAGTGGTCCGACCATGGCGTGCTTTGTGTATTTTTACTTGGAAATGTGCTTCGCGCCACAACGGCGTGCACTTTTTCGACATCGCAACTTCCAAAAGTGGTCCGAACGTGGTGTGTTTTGTACATTTTGACTTTGAAATGTGCTTCGCGCCACAACGGCGTGCAATTTTTCATCACTCATCTGGCCAGCTGGCTCCGCACCCGCCGCTTTAGCGAGCCTACTTTTCGACCCTCTGGAGCCACAAATCATTGGAAAAAACACAGTGTTTCGCGACTTTCCTACCTTTTCGCGCATCTGCATCTTCTTTCTTCTTACTCTTTCTCTTCTACTCTTCTTTCTTCTAATCTTCCTCTTCTCTCTGCCTCTTCCCTGCTCTGCTTTTCATCTGTCCATATTGTCGGAAGTTTGACTTCTAAACTTCCTTCGACCATTTATGGGAGTCATGAAAAATGAAGCACCAATTACAACAATCCGGATGAACTTCATCACGGCCTCGGACCTCATGTTGTTTTCACTGGCTTTGGAGCAAGGAACATCCGGTGATAACAGCTATGCTTGGGTGGGTGAAGTTTTGGTGAATTTTATACCCCAAATCCCATGGTTTTCTTATAGTTTTCTTCATTATTTTCCTGATTCGGCCATGGTCGGGTATTCCGAATTCCGCATGGAGAAAGTGGATGAAGTGGATGAAGCTGGTAAGCCCTGGTAAGTCCCCGAAGACCGTGGACTTTTTTTCGATGCCAAGTGGTAGCATTCAGGACTGGTTGCGTTTCCCGGCAGGTGATCGCTAATGTCAAGACCTGATTCGTTCTTGGCAAAGGATACCCTCTGGTTATTTAACATACTTGTAGCCATGGAAAATCACCATGTTATTAATAGGTAAACCATCTATTTTTATGGGCCATGGTTTCCATGGCTATGTTACATAACCAGAGGATACTTTATTTTTTCGGCCATAGTGTAGATATGTGTAGATATAATTTGATATAATCATATTTTATTATCTAAAGTATCAATTATAGATAGTGTATCAGTGTACAGTGTATAGTATACACTATCATATCTTATATAATATCTATTGTGTAGTTATTATAGATATTACATTATTATAAATATATTACACTATAGATTTCTTTATTACATTATTATAAAATAAAGTCAATATCGTTATATAATATCAATTATAGATAGTGTATAATTACTTTCCTTTATTGGCCATTTTCCACCAGACGGCCGAACTCACCACAGCCGCAGGCTGGGCAAGCGACGAAGTGATGTGCCGCCCGTGGGGCGCTGAGGAAGACGGACGAAGGGAGAACCGACTTAATCCCATCATCCCTATATAATATGATGTCGATGGTATAACCAAAATTATAACCATTGGATTTTGATGGATTTTGATGGTATAACCAACAATAATATGATGGTATAACTAATGTTATAACCTATAACCAATGGGTTTTAACCAATGATTAATGATCCAAAAATGGTATAACCACAATGATCCTTAAACAGGAGTTTTTTTAGATCCAACAGTTTTTATGGATCATAAACCATCTCTAGTATCTATAAGCAATGGATTTTGATGGTATACAACACTATAAAACTATCTAACCATCATTAACCATCATTTTTTAGCATCGTAAACCATCAATGAACCAACATATAACCATTGATGTGGGTAAAACAATGCCAGAAACCACCCATGACTGGGAATGGTAAACATAGCACTTATAAAAATGGTGATGACTGGGGTATGGTTTATGGCATTGTTTTACGGATGGCTATTTATTTTTGGATTTCCATAAATGGGGGTACCCCAATAGCTGGATGGTTTATTTCATGGGAAATCCATCTATAAATGGATGATTTAGGGGTACCTCTATTTCAGGAAACATCCATACAACATGAGATCTCCCCCTTAATCCCTTGTCTCAGATTTGAAGGTATTCAATACTGCGGCAAAAGGATTACTCACCTTCAGATACCTTCAGGGATTATATGCTGCATATATGGGGCACGGCTGGAACCAACTTTTGACATATTCACAGAAAAATCATCTTCCAATGGGTTTGTCTTCTTGGGCACTGACAGCAATCCTCAAATTGTGTGATTGCATGCCTGTTTTCCATGCATTAAAACTAGCCGTCATGTTCAGCAGTGTCGACATGTGTCGACCCTGGATAAGATCAGTGAAGCCCTAGTTGACTACTTGAGGTGCATCAACCCCAAAAAAGTGACGAATTGCGAATAAGATGGTAGCCCAATTTCGCCACACCAGGGATCAACCTTCATCATTCACCTACAATGTGGTGCCCCCTATGAGTTGGTTTACAACCCCATGCAACTATAGTATACTGTAACTATAGTTATGACATGTTACAATCATCATAATTCCTACTTATACATTATATAGATTATATAGTCTATAGTGCACAAAACCACCTTAGCTCACTGTGGAGCACCACCTTGTAACGTTTAACATTCTGACGCCATTCGCCGGTGGAACTCCTCATTCAACCTTTCTAAGCGGAGGCCAGTCCAGCGAAGAACAGGAAGCGCAAGCGGTTGCTCGTCTGAGATGTCCCAGTGGTTGGGTACCATTCAATCCTGAACCATTTTTCAAGCCAACATTTTCTGGCCCATGCGGTCAGAATGTGAGTAATTGAACATCCTAACAGTTGTTTCCGCCCTACAACCCGAACAGGGTGTACATGAAAAAATGGGGAGGAATACCATCAACCCTGCTAATGAAAAAAAATGTAACATGTCTTACAACAAATGGAACTCACACACCAGTTCTATCATCTACTGTATCGTATGTTTTTGTATAAACCAATAGTATTAGTATGCGTCAGTGGGAGAGATACACACATTTCTGGGTGCGCCGGTATTGTTGCACGAGATCCTTTCGAGAACTGCATGTTCGGAGTGTTGAAGTCATTTCAAACATCTCCGTGGGGAAGCTACATTTTCGCAGATTGTGCGTAAAATCAATTTAAATTGTCCACATGTCATTCCAAATCCTTTTCTTATTCTTAGCAATTTTTTCCCCATTCCCCAAAAAATCCACAGACTCTCGATCGCGCGCAGGGTCGCTGACGAGACGCTCCCCGATCTGCCGCTGCCCGCGCCGAAACGTTTCAAGCGATCGGCACCGGAACCGGAGGAACCTCCTTTTGTGCAGGAGGTATCGAAGGCCGAGCTGAGTGGGAAGATGGGGACGAAATCATGGGCAAAATGGACCAATGGAGGGGGTGATCAAACAACGAACGAAGATGGGGATATCGTGCCGACTTTATCCTATCCTTCCTAATATGAAATTCCCTCCCTTAACCCCTTGGTTTTAGATGGTTTTAGCATTGGATCTATTCTTTTCGCGGTCTCTTATGGGGGGTGTTTGATATTAGGGGAAAGGGATTACACGCCTTCAGATACCTTCAGAGACTGGGGCACGGCTGGAACCAACTTTTGACATATTCACAGAAAAATCATCTTCCAAGGGGTTTGTCTTCTTGGGCACTGACAGCAATCCTCAAATTGTGTGATTGCATGCCTGTTTTCCATGCATTAAAACTAGCCGTCATGTTCAGTAGTGTCGACATGTGTCGACCCTGGATAAGATCAGTGAAGCCCGAGTTGACTTATTGAGGTGCATCAGCCCCAAAAAAGTGACGAATTGCGAATACGATGGTAGCCCAATTTCGCCACACCAGGGATCAACGTTCATGATTCATCTACAATGTGGTGCCCCCTATGAGTTGGTTTACAACCCCATGCAACTATAGTATACTGTAACTATAGTTATAATATAAATGTTACAATCATCATAATTCCTACTTATACATTATATAGATTATATAGTCTATAGTGCACAAAACCACCTTAGCTCACTGTGGAGCACCACCTTGTAACGTTTAACATTCTGACGCCATTCGCCCGAGCCCCTCACCCAACCTTTCCAACCGGAGGCCAGTCCCAAGAACAGGAAGCGCAAGCGGTTGCTCGCCTGAGACATGTTCCAGCGGTTGGTACCATTCAATCTTGAACCATTTTTCAAGCCAACATTTTCTGGCCCATGCGGTCAGAATGTGAGTAATTGAACATCCTCACAGTTGTTTCCGCCCTACAACCCGAACCGGGTGTATATACATGAAAAAAAATGGGAGGAATACCATCAAACCTGTTAATGAAATTTAATGAATACAAACCTGTCTTACTACAAATTGAATTCACACACCAGTGTTTTTGTATAAACCAATAGTATTAGTATGCGTCAGTGGGAGAGATACACACATTTCTGGGTGCGCCGGTATTGTTGCACGACTCCTTCGAGAACTGCATGTTCGGAGTGTTGAAGTCATTTCAAACGTCTCCGTGGGGAAGATCCTCACATCGTTTCCATTGTCAGCACATGATTTATCCAATCTGTTCCCAGCCAGGCGTCTACATTTTCGCGGATTGTGCGGAAAATTGATTAAATAAAACGGTCCAAATCAGTTCAAATCCTTTTCTTATTCTTAGCAATTTTTTCCCCATTCCCCAAAAAATCCACAGACTCTCGATCGCGCGCAGGGTCGCTGACGAGACGCTCCCCGATCTGCCGCTGCCCGCGCCGAAACGTTTCAAGCGATCGGCACCGGAACCGGAGGAACCTCCTTTTGTGCAGGAGGTATCGAAGGCCGAGCTGAGTGGGAAGATGGGGACGAAATCATGGGCAAAATGGACCAATGGAGGGGGTGATCAAACAACGAACGAAGATGGGGATATCGTGCCGACTTTATCCTATCCTTCCTAGTATGAAATTACCTCCCTTGACCCCTTGGTTTTAGACGGGAGGGATGTGACATATATGGGGCACGGCTGGAAACCAACTTTTGACATATTCACAGGAAAATCATCTTCCAGGGGGGTTGTCTTCTTGGGCACTGACTGCAGTCCTCAAATTGGAGTGTCTGATTGCATGCCTGTCTTCGATCTATGAAAACTAGCTGTCATGTTCAGCAAGCAGTGTCCACATGTGTCGACCCTGGATAAGATCAATGAAGCCCTGGCATGATCTCCAGGAAAGCGAAGTGCGAAGAAATTATAACACTGCTTCATTTCTTTTTGCAGCCCAGGGGTCAACATTCTACAATGTGGTGCTCCCACGTTCTAAGTTGGTTTATATATTTCCATCTAACTATGTCGCAATCGCATGCACCGACCATGAATCACTGGTTGGTGGTTTGGAACATGAATTTTCTGACTTTCCATATATTGGGAATGTCATCATCCCAACTGACGGACTCATATTTTTCAGAGGGGTTGAAACCACCAAGCAGATCATTTTTGGACATTCTGAAGCTGTCACTTCTTCTCCCCATGGAACTTTCTAACCGGAGGTCAGTCTGAAGAACAGGAAGCGCAAACGGTTGCTCGAGAGACATGTCCCAGTGGTTGTGTATGAAAATTGGGGAAGATGACCCTCAAACCTGCGAATGGAAACAAGCATGGCTTGCAACAAATGGATCTTTGTCCGAATTCACGCACGCCACTTAATCTAGACTTTGTTTTCGTATGAACCTATGGTTGGGATTTGGTATGCTTCATGGATCTTCAGTGGGAATCATGTTCAATATACATACGTACAGACATTATATAATACTACATAATATATATATATATATAAATACTATACATACTTTTTGTAATATATGCACCATCTTGTCATGGGCATGACATCCCAGAAGTGTGCGAAGCGTGGAAGCTGTGAAAGCTGTGGACCAAGGTCAGAGCTGGAGTATGATCCACTGGCACACCAGAGGCACAATGGTGGATGAATCAAGAATATTTCACCAAGAAAAATGGGGATTTGAATGGATTTAACCAAGAAAAATGGTGGTATAGTGGGGGGTATAATGGGGATTTAAAGTTTAGATGATGGGGAAGATTGGCCTAAAATCTAATAGTTCATTGTCCACTGCATGTAACTGGCTGATAACTCTGGCTAGCGAGTCCCTGATTCTCGTGAGGTTATCCAGTTATTCATCGAATGGCTTGGTCGTAAGCATGTTTGTCAACCACAAAATGTGGAATGCGAGTCCCCTGGTAGCGTTCCCAAGATGTGGATCCACTTTGGGCCACTTTGGATATGATTCAGTAGGATCCCTGGGGAAGATCCTCACATCGTTTGTCGCCAGGTGATTCCTTATGTTTTTTTCCATTGTCAGCACCTGATTGCTCCAATTTGTTCCCAGCAAAGTGTCTACTTTTTCGCGGATAATGCATAAAATCCATTTAAATTGTCCACATGTCATTCCAAATCCTTTTCTAATTCTTAGCCATTTTTTTCCCCATTCCACAATAATTCCACAGACTCTCCATCGTGTGCAGGGTCACTGACGAGCCGCTCCCCGATCTGCCGCTGCCCGCGCCGAAACGCTTCAAGCGATCGGCGCTGGAACCGGAGGAACCTCCTTTTGTGCAGGAGGTACCGAAGGCCGAGCTGAGCGGGAAGATGGGGACGAAATCATGGGCAAAATGGAGGTTGATCAAACAACGAACGAAGATGGGGATATCGTGCTGACTTTATCCTATCCTTCCTAATGTGAAATTCCCTCCCTGAACCCCTTGGTTTTAGATGGGAGGGATGTGACATATATGGGGCACTGCTGGAAACCAACTCTTGACATTTTGCAATGGGTTTGTCTTCTTGGTCACTGACTGCAATCCTCAAATTGTGTGATTGCATGCCTGTCTTCGATCTATGAAAACTAGCTGGCATGTTCAGCAGTGTCGATTAAGATCAATGAAGTCGGTGAAGCCCTAGTTGACGTATTGAGGTGCATCAGCCCCAATAAAGTGACGAATTGCAAATAAGATGGTAGCCCAATTTCCTTTGCCACACCAGGGAGCAACATTCATCATCATTTATCTACAATGTGGTGCCCCCAATTTATGAGTTGGTTTACAACCGCGTTCAACTATATATAGTCACAATATCGTGTATACTGTAACTATAGTTATGATATGTTACAATCATCATAAATCCTACATAATCTTATATAGTCTATGGTGCACAAAACCACCTTAGCTAACTGTGGAGCACCACCTTGTGACGTTTCACATTCTGACGCCATTCGGCCGTGGAACACCTCACCCAACCTTTCTAACTGGAGGCCAGTCCAGCGAAGAACAGGAAGCGCAAGCGGTTGCTCGCCTGACATGTTCCAGTGCTTGGTACCATTCAATCCTGAACCATTTTTCAAGCCCAAATTCATGGCCCAAGATGCGGTCAGAATGTAAGTAATTGAAAATCCTCACAGAACAGGGTGTATATGCATGAAACATGCGGAAGATTACCATCAGCCCTGCTATAGTGAAAACAAACATGAAACATGTCTTACAACAAATGGAATTCACACACCAGTTCTATAATCTATCGTATGTTTGTTTTTTTTTTAAATAAACCGATAGTGTGAGTATGCTTCAGTGGGAGAGATACACACATTCCTGGGTGCGCCGGTATTTTTGCATGACATCCTGAAGTTATTTCAAACATCCTGAAGATATTTATCCAATTTGTTCCCAGCAAAAGTGTCTACATTTTCGGGGATTGTGCGTTCAAATCCTTCTCTTATTCTTAAGCCATTTTTCCTATTTTTCCCCCATCCACAGTAATTCCACAGACTCTCCATCGTGCGCAGGGTCACTGACGAGCCGCTCCCCGATCTGCCGCTGCCCGCGCCGAAACGCTTCAAGCGATCGGCGCCGGAACCGGAGGAACCTCCTTTTGTGCAGGAGGTACCGAAGGCCGAGCTGAGTGGGAAGATGGGGACGAAATCATGGGCAAAATGGAGGGGGTGATCAAACAGCGAACGAAGATGGGGATATCGTGCCGACTTTACCCTATCCTGATGTGAAATTCCCTCCCTGAACCCCTTGGTTTTAGATGGGAGGGATGTGAAATTCCCTGAGCCCCTCACCACCTTTCTAAACCTCTCTAAGAGGCGAGTCCGGCGACGAACTTGAAGCGCAAGCGGTTGCTCGCCTGACATGTCCCAGTGGTTGGGTACATTTGGGTACCATTCTATCCTTAACCATTTTTAAGCTGAAATTTATGGCCAGATGTACTCAGACGTACCAGACATTGCCAGATGATACAAGATGAAAAAGAAAGTGTGAGATATCTGAAAAACACTGGTATATCCCCATTCTATCCCCGAATGGTTGGCAAAAAAACAACCTCATTGATCATTCGTCCCAGACAAGTGAATCGCCCCTGATATTATCCCCATATCCCATGATATCACCATGATATCCCTTACGTCCCATATAAATTTGGGTCTTGAGCCAAGGTTGCCGGAGAATGATCCACTGGCATTCCAAAGGCGGATGAATCGTGAGATTTCGCCGGGAGTTGAATGGAAGCCACAGAAATGATGAAATCTAGGGTGGTTTTTGGTGGGGATTCAATGGGGGAAAAAAATGGGGAAGGCTTGGTTTAAACATATCAATGTCCACTGTTCATGTAACTGGTTGATAACGATAAGGCTAGTAAGTCCGCAAATCGTGGGTTTATTCATGTTTCTTCTATATTACAGAATTTTGCAGCATATATCAACGAATGGCTTAGTCGTCAGTAATTAAGCATGATTATCAACCACAAAATGTGGAATGCGGGTCCCGTGGTAGTGTTCCCAAGACGAGACGTGGATCCACTTTGGGCCACTTTGGATATGATTCAGTAGGATCCCTGGGGAAGATCCTCACATCGTTTGTCGCCAGGTGATTCCTTATGTTTTTTTCCATTGTCAGCACCTGATTGCTCCAATTTGTTCCAAGCAAAGTGTCTACTTTTTCGCGGATAATGCATAAAATCCATTTAAATTGTCCACTAGTCAGTCCAAATCCTTTTCTTATTCTTATAGCTATTTTTTTCCCCATTCCCCAAAAAATCCACAGACTCTCCATCTTGCGCAGGGTCACTGACGAGCCGCTCCCCGATCTGCCGCTGCCCGCGCCGAAACGCTTCAAGCGATCGGCGCTGGAACCGGAGGAACCTCCTTTTGTGCAGGAGGTACCGAAGGCCGAGCTGAGTGGGAAGATGGGGACGAAATCATGGGCAAAATGGAGGGGGTGATCAAACAACGAACGAAGATGGGGATATCGTGCCGACTTTATCCTATCCTTCCTAATATGAAAATTCCCTCCCTTGACCCCTTGGTTTTAGATGGGAGGGATGTGAAATTCCCTGAGCCCCTCACCACCTTTCTAAACCTCTCTAAGAGGCGAGTCCGGCGACGAACTTGAAGCGCAAGCGGTTGCTCGCCTGACATGTCCCAGTGGTTGGGTACCATTCTATCCTTAACCATTTTTAAGCTGAAATTTATGGCCAGATGTACTCAGACGTACCAGACATTGCCAGATGATACAAGATGAAAAAGAAAGTGTGAGATATCTGAAAAACACCGGTATATCCCCATTCTATCCCCGAATGGTTGGCAAAAAAAACAACCTCATTGATCATTCGTCCCAGACAAGTGAATCGCCCCTGATATTATCCCCATATCCCATGATATCACCATGATATCCCTTACGTCCCATATAAATTTGGGTCTTGAGCCAAGGTCGCCGGAGAATGATCCACTGGCATTCCAAAGGCGGATGAATCGTGAGATTTCGCGGGAGTTGAATGGAAGCCACAGAAATGATGAAATCTAGGGTGGTTTTTGGTGGGGATTCAATGGGGGAAAAAAATGGGGAAGGCTTGGTTTAAACATATCAATGTCCACTGTTCATGTAACTGGTTGATAACGATAAGGCTCGTAAGTCCGCAAATCGTGGGTTTATTCATGTTTCTTCTATATGACAGAATTTTGCAGCATATATCAACGAATGGCTTAGTCGTCAGTAAGCATGATTATCAACCACAAAATGTGGAATGCGGGTCCCGTGGTAGTGTTCCCAAGACGTGGATCCACTTTGGGCCACTTTGGGTATGATTCAGTAGGATCCCTGGGGAAGATCCTCACATCGTTTGTCGCCAGGTGATTTCTTATGTTTCTTTCCATTGTCAGCACCTGATTGCTCCAATTTGTTCCCAGCAAAGTGTCTACTTTTTCGCGGATAATGCATAAAATCCATTTAAATTGTCCACATGTCATTCCAAATCCTTTTCTTATTCTTAGCCATTTTTTTCCCCATTCCACAATAATTCCACAGACTCTCCATCGTGCGCAGGGTCACTGACGAGCCGCTCCCCGATCTGCCGCTGCCCGCGCCGAAACGCTTCAAGCGATCGGCGCCGGAACCGGAGGAACCTCCTTTTGTGCAGGAGGTACCGAAGGCCGAGCTGAGTGGGAAGATGGGGACGAAATCATGGGCAAAATGGAGGGGGTGATCAAACAACGAACGAAGATGGGGATATCGTGCCGACTTTACCCTATCCTAATGTGAAATTCCCTCCCTGAACCCCTTGGTTTTAGATGGGAGGGATGTGAAATTCCCTGAGCCCCTCACCACCTTTCTAAACCTCTCTAAGAGGCGAGTCCGGCGACGAACTTGAAGCGCAAGCGGTTGCTCGCCTGACATGTCCCAGTGGTTGGGTACCATTCTATCCTTAACCATTTTTAAGCTGAAATTTATGGCCAGATGTACTCAGACGTACCAGACATTGCCAGATGATACAAGATGAAAAAGAAAGTGTGAGATATCTGAAAAACACCGGTATATCCCCATTCTATCCCCGAATGGTTGGCAAAAAAAAACAACCTCATTGATCATTCGTCCCAGACAAGTGAATCGCCCCTGATATTATCCCCATATCCCATGATATCACCATGATATCCCTTACGTCCCATATAAATTTGGGTCTTGAGCCAAGGTTGCTGGAGAATGATCCACTGGCATTCCAAAGGCGGATGAATCGAGAGATTTCGCGGGAGTTGAATGGAAGCCACAGAAATGATGAAATCTAGGGTGGTTTTTGGTGGGGATTCAATGGGGGAAAAAAATGGGGAAGGCTTGGTTTAAACATATCAATGTCCACTGTTCATGTAACTGGTTGATAACGATAAGGCTAGTAAGCCCGCAAATCGTGGGTTTATTCATGTTTATTCTATATTACAGAATTTTGCAGCATATATCAACGAATGGCTTAGTCGTCAGTAAGCATGATTATCAACCACTCAGTGGAATGCGGGTCCCGTGGTAGTGTTCCCAAGACGTGGATCCACTTTGGGCCACTTTGGATATGATTCAGTAGGATCCCTGGGGAAGATCCTCACTTCGTTTCCCACCAAGTGATCCTCACATCGTTTCCATTGTCAGCACCTGATTGCTCCAATTTGTTCCAAGCAAAGCATCTACATTTTCGCGTGCCTAAAACCCATTTCAATTGTCCACTAGTCATTCCAAATCCTTTTCTTATTCTTAGCCATTTTTTTCCCCATTCCCCAAAAAATCCACAGACTCTCCATCTTGCGCAGGGTCACTGACGAGCCGCTCCCCGATCTGCCGCTGCCCGCGCCGAACAGTTTCAAGCGATCGGCGCCAGAACCGGAGGAACCACCTTTGATGCAGGAGGTACCGAAGGCCGAGCTGAGCGAGAAGATGGGGACGAAATCATGGGCAAAATGGAGGGGGTGATCAAACAACGAACGAAGATGGGGATATCGTGCCGACTTTATCCTATCCTTCCTAATGTGAAATTCCCTCCCTGAACCCCTTGGTTTAGCATTGGATCTATATTCATTTTGGCGGTCTCAGATGGGGCTGTATGGTGTAGACATCGAGGGGTCAGGATTACGATGGACTACCTAAGGGTCCCTAAGGGTCGTTGAAAAGCCCCGTCAAGTACTTGTAGAATATGTGGAAGTTGAAGTTTCCAAGAATTGGATGAACCAACTGTATCTGGTGCTAATAACCCGATCAACTCCCATCATCATCATCATCATCACCACCACCACCATCACCATCATCATCATAGCCATATGTTTTCCAATGTTTTCCATATATTGTCCCACATATTTTCCCATCATCAAATGGTGGGTGGGCCGCGTCAAAAAGAACCCCTCGAGGCGCCGATGTCGACCGCGGCACCGGTGACGGCAGCTGCGATCGAGTGTTCCTTGGCACAAAACAGAGGTACGGTGGCGCGGTGCGCACCACTGATGTTATGATGGGTTATGAATGGTTTATTAATGGTTAATGATGGTTAATAACCCATTATAACATCAGTAAGTGGATTAATTAATAACCCTTAATGGTTAATGATGGTTTATTAACCACTGATGGTTAATGAGATTATAATCCACTTACTGTATCTAGTTGGTTAATGATGATTAATAATGCTTATTAATGGTTAATGATGGTTATTGGCTATCTGGTTGGTGGTGACTGGAACCATGGAATGGATTATGACTTTCCATATATTGGGAATGTCGTAACCCCAACTGACTTTCATATCTTTCAGAGGGGTTGAAACCACCAACCAGTAATGTTTATTACCCATCCAACATCATCTAACTATACATAGTTATCTATAGATAGTTCTTTTTTATAGTTAAAAACAACCATAAAGTTATAGGTGATATTGTCGCTATAAACCAACTTTGCTCACTTTGTGGCACCACCTGGGGCTAAATGGGGATATATGCCAACTTATGGCTTAGGGAACGGGTTGAAACCCATGAGGATCAAATATTTCAAGGTTCACAGCCAGCATTTCTGTAGATGCTACACAGGTTACACCTTGAAAAACGCCACAATTTTCCCAGCACCTGGCACCTTGGGTCGTTTTTTCTCGGTCGTTTTTGTACGTCGGTCTCGAGGTGGTGGTGCGCAGGTGCATTGGGCCAGCTGCAGCAAGCGCGATGGATGTCGATACGTCAAGAAGGCGGCACATGGGATGCGATTGGATCAATAAACCCCAAACGGCTGTGAAATTGGGAGGGTACCCCCTAATTGTCATAAACCATGGTTTTAATTTATCCGGGGTTAACATTAATGTGGTTAAAACAATAATAAACTACCCATTTGGGCTTGGCAAACATACCACCTATTTATAGTTTATGATTGTTTTAGCATGTTTTAACCACATGGAATGGCTGTCGAACTGGGAGGGTACCACAAAAAAGTACACTTGGAGGAGTAGCACGCTAATAAACCAAGGTTTTCATTCATCCGGGGTTGACATTAGGGGTTAGATATGGATAGATAGGGTTGGGGGAACATCCATTTATCAACCACGACTTGAAAAGGGGTCACTTTAGACGGCTTTTGACTCGACTCATAGCCCTGTTATATCATGTTATATCCCATATTGTTCCATATTGCTATTTTATGATGTCATCAAATGTGGCAGGCTGGAAAACCCCCAACTAAATGGAGGTTTCTTTGCTGCACATTTGTTCCTTGAATTATCCAGACGGATCCTTAACATAGATGTCCTTTTCCCATTGATTGGTTGATTAATAGAGGGGTTTGTTTACCCCTTTAACAACCGGTAAAAGATGATAGCTGGTATACCAAACCCGCCCAAACCTATTTTTACCAAAAGGACATTATTGGATCCTCATATTTTTCATGAGATAATCCATTGGACCTGGGGGCACCGCATTTTTCAAACAGATTTACCAACAACTTGCATGATCAAGCACAGGCATTAAGATCCAATGGTTTTTTTTAGATGTTATACATTAACCCCCCGATTTATTAAATACCATATCCTACCAACGACTTGCAGTTTGTTGGGTCACCAACTTTCTAACTAAAGATACTAAAAACTCACATGTTCTTTATAGCTCAGTTGACCCTTTCAAACCCCAGAGCCTCATGAATCTCGCATCGGTGCAGGCGGATGTGTCGCGTTGCGGAGTCAGCCAGCACGGCTGCTACGATGAGTCTCAGCTTCTTTCCGAGTGCCAGTCGCTTGGTGCAGATCCCGGGGCGGTCCAGATCCAAGTTCGTGGCAAAAGATTATAATATCAACCCTGGATTAATAAACCCCAAACGGCCGTCTAATTGGGGGGGTACCATTTAAGTATCAGATTATGACTATTGGGGGAGTACCCCCCCAATTAATATAATTAATAAACCATGGTTTATTAATCCGGGGTTGACGTTATACAGGGATGGGTCAATCATGTTCCTTATTATATGTGAATAGACAGGGGTTGCCAATGGTTTCCATCAATGGGGGTACCCAATAGCTAGATGGTGTCTAAAGGAAGATCCGAGAATAACATGGATGATTTGGAGGTATACCCCCATGTCAGGAAACTGCCAGGGATGGGTCAATATCATGTTTATCATTGTTTGTCCATTATTTGGGGGAATGAGCATCCATAAATCCCACTTATTTTTCTTGTTCACAAGGGGTACAGGCTTTTGACATGTTTTGACATGTTTTGACCCATCCCCATATACACCCTCTGGTAATTTAACATAGCTATGGACAATCACCATTTTTAATGGGAATACTCACTATAAATGGGCCATTTTCAATAGTTTAAACTTGTGATTTCTATGTCAAATCACCTGAGTAAGGATTACACTCGCCGGCGACCAAATCATCCCAATTTTACGAGAAATGGGTGGCTTTTTACGCCATCCCCCACCCTGTGGAGGCAGCATTCGGTGAGAAAACATTACGACCACATTACTCAGCTACTACCCTCTGGTAAACAGCCACATAGCTATTGAAAATGGCCCAGTCGAAATAGTGGATTTACCCAGCTAAAAAATTGTGATTTTCATTGATTTTCCAGTTTGCTATGTGGCTGTTTACCAGAGGGTATGTGCCATTAAGTGGATTATAATCCCATTACATTCCATTAAACCCATCAAACCCCATTGAAATGGTGATTACCAGAGGATAATTGCTAACCACTTACGAAGTTACTATAAGTTGCTTGTGTCTCCATCATATCCCGCGATCCATTGCTTGTATCTTCAGATTTTCCCATGGAAAATATCCCGTAGATTTTCCATTACATTCCCGTTAATAATGGTTAATAATGGTTAATCATGGTTAATCATGGTCAATCATGGTTAATAATGAATTTCCCACTATGTTCCCTTTGTTACTGGTTGGGACACCCTGCGACACACTCCTAAGACAGGGAATTTATTTGCAGTGAAGTGTGGTTGATTCTTGTATGAACGTTTATCACCGTGCCCGAGTTTTTTTTGCCACAGAACAACTTTAAAGAATGAGATGGGCATCGGATGGCATAGCTCCAAATCATACCCTCCGGTACTCAAACATGGCAATTGAAAATCCCCATTTAGTCCGATATTCCATGAAATATCACCAGGACCCAGGATATTAATTACCCTCTGGTAAACTAACATAACTATGGAAAATCACAATCTTTACTAGGTAAATCCACTATTTCTATCTGCCATGTTCAATAGCAAACTGAAAGAAATTACCAGAGGGTATATCCCATTAAGTGGATGAAACAATCCCATTATATCCCATTAAATCACCATTAAACACCCACTAAATTCTTGTTTTTTGCCATGAAATCACCGTTAAAACACCGTGTTTTGCTATGAGACCAGCTTTGTTATATCCCACACAGAATTTGTTATATCGCCGGGCCGGGAGGGTAAAAAAACTTGTTCCACCAGCCATCCACTTTTTTTGCATTTCATGGTTGAACCATAGTTTAACACTTAAACCATAGTTGAACCATAGTTGAGCCATAGTTAAACTTAACACTTAAACCATAGTTGAACCATAGTTGAACCATAGTTAAACTTAACACTTAAACCATAGTTGAACCATAGTTGAACTTCTTTTTCTTCCGGGTTTTGATTTTTGATCATTTTTGATCTATTTCGTCTTTGTATAACATCCAGCCACTTGAGGCTTAGTTTAGCACCTGCACCTCCTTCGGGTTGTGGCTCGACGACATCGATTTTCCATGATTTTCCCAAAGGGAAATCCACCAGACATGCGGAATCTATGGGCAATCTATGGGCAATCTATGGGGAATAAGGCATGTATTTTTGTCCTTTTCTTGGCGTGTTTAAGCAAATTCAAGTTTGAGAGGATCTAGAGGGGTTCCGGAGACAGCGGTTTAAGGGGGCACATTTAGGGGTGGCCTTTCTTCTGGCAATGGTGCAATTTCGAAGAGCCGCAATGGAACATAATTTTCAAATACTGTAGACGGAGCTGACCAACATTTGCCTTCCTATATTGTGCAGACGTGCAGCTGGAAGACCGCAGTGTTCATTTATGTTTTTGAAGCACTTGTGCAATCACATTGGAGCTAATATTTGGATATATATATATATATATGTATATATATATGTATATATATATATGTATATATGTATATATATATATATATGTATGTATATATATATATTATATTTGGCAGTTTGGCATTCATGTCTACTCCAGTCTTCCCCTTGAAATCCACTGCTGGATTCTGGCTGGGGCTCGGAACGTGGGAGATGTTTGATGATTTTTGACATGTTTTTCGGGGCGCAGCCAGCCACTTGTTTTGGTGGCAGCAAAGCGCCAGTCTTCCGTCTTGGATGGGAACAGCGCGGAAGTAAAATGAAGTTGTTATGGCTATGGTTCAACTTGGTTTACCCCCAAAATTGGATGGTTGACCCCATTTTTTGGCACCAAGAATGAGCCACATGTATTCTGCTTGGTGGTGACTGGAACATGAATGGATTATGACTTTCCTTATATTGGGAATGTCATCATCCCAACTGATTTTCATAAAATTTCAGAGGGGTTGGTGGCTCAACCACCAACCAGAAATGTTGCTAACTATTCCATAGATGGAGCATTTGGGTACTCTTCAGACTTCGCCTTTTATGGATCCATTCGCCATGTGCGAACTGCGTCGGAGCTGCGGTTCAGCTGATCCCAGGTCCTAGGTGATCCCAGGTGACCATCACTGGCGATCCCCAGTTCGTCACCAGTTGGATGATTTTTGGGTTACCCCTGATGGGAAACCAGCATTAATACATCCATTTTTTCACATGAAATGATATACCCTCTGGTAAACTAACATAGCTATTGAAGATGGCCATTTATAGCGAGTTTTCTCATTAAAAATGGTGGATCGTTCCATAGCTATGTTAAATTACCAAAATGATATAGATATGATATGGACTTACAACGTCTGACTACATCTTTTCCTTTCAGCATCGTCCATTCTGTGGTTTGGTAAGGTCAACCCCGGATTAATACACCCGGTTGATTCAAACTCCGGGTGTTGCCTCCAGAAAGTGATGAAACACACATGCTATTTTCCAGTGGTACGGTGCCGATGATCAACAGCCTAGCTTTTTCCAAAATCCGGGGTTGACATTTGCTGATACGCCCCCAACTACTTGGGAGTGGTAAGTGGGTAATCACATGTAATCACCATATTATACCCATCCTCCTAATTTCATCTAATTTCTGAAACACCCCCTAAATCTATGGTTGCAATAAGTGTTTTTATTTTATCCCCTACGAAACAATGGTTTCTGTTTTTTTTTTAGGGGGAAGTGATTCCCAAGCTATGCCATGTTCAGCCCAAGGTGGAGGTGGTGGGGTTCACTTTGCCAGCTGCTACAAGAAGAGTGGATGCCGATATGTCAAGAAGGCGAGTTGTTCGTAAGCCCATGAAATCATTTTAGGCTATTTTCATGGGATGTAAGAAACATGCGGATGTATCATGTGGACATAGTGACATAGTCACATAGTGGTGATATGATGGAATATGAATAAAGGAATATGAAAATATGAATGGAATATGAATGGAATATGAATGGAATATGAAAATATGAATGGAATATTGGTTGATACCCTCCAGTGTCATCAACCATGGCCAGCTTGGAAATCCAACCAAATGGAGATGTTCGCTGCCAGGTTTGAGTAGGGCCATGGCTACTTCTTTTGTGGGCCATGGAAACGGTGAGTTCACCAGTTTGCAAAAAAAAACCACTTGAATCTAGTTGGTAACTGGGTGATACCCCATGAAAATATACAGACATATAATATACATATACCTCACTTAGTGCCAGAAGAAAGGGGAATACAATCGAACAATCCAGGAAAAACAGCTTTTTCAACCCCCGGGCCCCTTGCCAAGCCAATTTCAGATCCGGGATATCCCCATCCCTGTGGTAGTGAATCATCCAGGAAAATGGCCATATTTCAAGTATTTTCAGGCCATGTCTTTTTTTCGGCAGTGAATAGTTCCTGCTGTAGAATTCGAATATAGCGAACTTGAAATAACTTGAAGCAACGTGTTTTTCAAGCACTGGATCAACAATTGACATTACCTTTTTTTTAGAACAAATCAACAGCAACCATTGATCATTGACCATTGACAGTAAAGAACAACAAGTGAAACAACGATTAATACTACCTATATATTTTCAACTATATTATATCATTAATCATAAATCAATCTCAACATGCACCAGTATTACCCATTGACATATTCGCCATTCAACCATCAATCCGGATGTCTTTGGATGAAGCAAGGATTTCCTACCCATGAAAACCATGGGAATTCACGGGAGTTCTGTAGGTTAGATCACCATGAATCATCATGAAATTAATCACCATGGAAAATCCCAAAAAAAACACCATAGAAAGCCATAATTAATCACCATGAATTAATCATCATGAGCATCACCATCAATCATCATTAATCACCATGAACATCACCATAAATTCACCGTAAAATCACCATTCGCTTCGCTTCGTTCCATCCGTGGCAGGAGGATGTCACCTTATGCGGCGTCAGCCTCTACGGCTGCTACGCTGTCAAAGAGCTCCCTTTGGCATGTCAGCACTTGGGACCGAAATGGTGCTTGGAGTCTGGATTTGTATTATATATATATTATATGTGTATATATATAATTATGTGTATATATATATATACACATGTATTATATGGAAAATATGTGGAACATATATGGGAAAATATATGGAACATATATGGCTATGATGATGA